TCAATTGAAAAAACTTAATAATCAATCACTTTATATTTTTCTTCATAAATGCAAATTTTGAATTAAAATCCTACAAGTCAATGGAATTTAATTCCAATAGTAGTTTTAAATAAATCAAATTTTGAGTTACTGATAAAACAAGATATCAAATCTAATTATTTTATTTCATATAAAATAAATATTCTTTAAAATGAGCATTGTTCCTTGAAATACCAATTTTGATTATAATCAGCATTTACTTAATGAAACTATCAAATAATAATTTAAAACAATATTTAAAAGTTTATTTGATTTTTCCAAAAAAAAAATTCTTTTTAATTATTGTAGTTGAGAAAAAAAAATTGTAAAATTATAATATCAACCTAGTATCTCTCTTTACTAGCATTTTCTTCCTATCTATGCATTTTCTACTATATAACTTAATACTGTAATTTTTCAATACAAACACGGAATCTTTCTTTCAAAGAGTTCATTTTTTTCACCATAGATGCACAATATGTCAAGGCTGAAGATACTTTGAGCGGCAAGTAGCAATGTTTAGGATTAAATTTCAGTCATCAATGTTAGAGAAGTACAATGCATTGACACTGTTGATTTTCTCTGGATTTTAATTAATTATATTCAAATACAAAGTTTGTTCACTAAATTTAGTATTTCATCATTAATCATTCTTGACAAAAAAATTTACATCAACGTTTTAAAAGATAGGAAAGTATAAAAACTTCAGTATACATCAGGATACAATTCTATTCTAATTGAGTGGTCTTCAATATCTCAGGACAGAAAATCTCAAAAAATAACATTGTATACTATAGAAAATGAGTTGACCAATTTATCATCATTATTAATAGAAGCAATATGTAATAGGAGTGAAATTCTTTCATCTTGGAAACAAAATAAATAAATATCTAATCTATTACTAAAACCTATACATTTACAAAGTGGCACCAATTACAAATATTGGTAATTTTTATAACTAACTTAATATTTCAAACATGTTAACACTGGCAATGAAAATTAAGGACAATGCCTATGTTAGCAATGTAAGGATAACTGAACTTAAGAGCAAAAGTGGTATAAGTCAGTTTTTCCAAAAACCTATGTTCTTTATAAAGAAATAGTATTATTTACATTACTTACCCACAGGTTAAAGCAATTAACAATAAATCTGCAATAATTCTTAAATCGGTACTTAACTTTAGATCTAAATTTTTCAATATAGATGAAAAGTGACTTACATTAATTTCACTTTCAACAACTCAATTATAAATCTTGCAATTTCTGTAAATTTAAAAGCAAGCAAAACTGGCTGTTTACATTATGTACTTATACTTTTTATCTGATTTACATATTATTTATGTATATAATATCTACATCATAATGGTTTAGAAATGAAAGCTGAAACATGTGCATCTAGTTTACATATTTTTGTTTTTATATCACTGGAACTTTTAGTTAAAAAACACACCTTCAATAGTGTATTTTAACAATTTATAACTATAAACTATTATATGTTAGGGATTTTGTGTTCATTTAAAACTACAATTGTTACATTAGTAAGATAAGACTAAAAAATAAAATTTTTAGTCTTTTCTTATTAATGTATTATTACAGTTTATTTTAAATACTAAATTTCTTCTAAACATACAACATTTTTTTTCTATTTTTCATTTGATAATCAATAAATAAAAATATATGCTAAAATAATTTATAATATTTAATTTTTAAAGTCAACATGATATAGAGCTGGTAAGAAACTATTTTTCCTATGTAACTATCATTAAATGTAAGTTTTTTGTAAATATATATTAACAATACTAGTAAACAATTACTCCACTTTAATTATAAGAATATTTTACAATATACAGAAGCTGAGATTATATTAAATTTTGAACTGTTTTTGAACTTTAATAAAATTTGCACTCCCATGTATTTTAAATTGTACAGGGTGTTCAAAATGTTACTGTGCAATGAGAAATTTGTAATAACATTAAAGTTATACATATGACATTGCATACAAGACCTGTAAATCATATGTCCCATGTTTCCATTTTTCAATAGATGGCATTATTGCTTACTCACAGATGTTCTGATTTTTGGACTTTTTTCAACTGCACACACTCCTATGGAACCAGCTAGGTCCAGACCTCACTCCTCTGGGGAAAATTCCAGAATTTGCTATAGGAGAAACTGCAATATCATACGTAAAACTTCACTTTTATTAAGATGTTATTTAAACCTTTTTCACTGCACAATAACATTCTGGACACACTGTAATTTCATAAGAGAACCTTCTCTCTTAAATACTATTTTTAAATGAGTGTGCCAGTGTAACAATGGTCTAAGCCACTTAAAAAAGAAAACAGCTTGTTAATGTGTTACATTTATGGTTTATTTTGGAATTTAAAAAAAATATTTTAGTGGAAGTGGTGTATTATGTGATGCTTTAACTTAAATACAATGTTACATAGTCTAGTGTTAAGTAGACTTAGAGATATTATGGTTTTTATGAAGATACTGCAACAGTATTTCTTGGTTAGACCACAGTTGCATTGAAAATTTGTTTGCACGTAAGAAAATGAATAAAGTTACTTGAATAAATGTTGGACTTTTATTAATTAAATAATGTTTCATTATAATTTAAACTTGTACAACATTGTTATGTTTATGTTGGCTTAATTATTACACACACAGTATTATACATAGTCAAAAATGTCATCATCATCTACCTTACTCTCTGTCTGACTTTCCTCAGTACTATTTTGAGAAAAAAACTGGATGGTGAATGAGTGGTGCATATTTCAAAAAATTATTAATACCTGTAACTTTATCTGAATTTAGTCTCATATTATAAACCAAGATTAATAACACATTGATAAACATACACATGATCTAAATTCTCTTTTATCCTTTTAGTCAAGTATATGTAAATCTTATTAATCTGAATAAGAATATTTAACACAATATTTCCATGGATGTTCAACAGATAGCTTCAATACTGTAATGCAACCAAAAATAACAAGATTCTTATCCTCAGTGAATTTACAATTAGATATTTTGCAGAAAAAAAAGGCTGCACACAAAAAATGGCTTTTTCCATATTTTTGAGACTCAAAAGTTCACTATTATAACTAAAGTCAGTCATCTTTGTTACATGTATCTTAGTACTGGTTATTCATTGGCTCTTGGGACTGGACCAATGTTGCACTCTAGCAAAAGGGAAATTCATTTCAGAGACATTATTTGCTCAAAAATAAAATATAAAAAGGTAAATTAAAATGTAACCCATTTTGTAGGAATATAGTTCAAATCAAAAAGCAACAGAATGGCATTAATACCTATATTTGCAAGTTGAAGACCACTGTTATACTGACTCCCTCAAGTGCACATTATCCAGTTATGATTATTATTTTAAAAGCTAATTTGCTTTTCATATATATTTTATCTTAATTTTATGTTTGTATACATAATAATACTCATATTTGGATCTTTTTTTAATGGCAGAAATCTAGAAATGTAATGAACAAATTTGTAAAACTTGTGAAAATTAATTTCATTTTGAAAATAAATTTATATCCTTTCATTATCAAATCTTTATATGTCTCATTAATCTTCATTTTATAGACAAAATAGATTACAGTAATCTATACTGATAAACATCTCTGTGATAAAATTGTGTCAATATTAATTTTTAATGTGAAAACTTATTATAAAAGAAAAAAAAACATTTTTGAATAAATACTCTGAATGATTTTTTAAATCTATAATAATATACTGTATTTAACAGTAAATTACATTTGTCCTGGTATTGATGAAAAATCAAACTTCTTAATATGTCAATATATAGGATGACAAAACAAAGTTTACTTGCAAAGATTATTAAGGATAATATATATTAACTGAGCATTAATTTATTGACACAATTTACAATAAAAGAAACATCTTTCTTTGACTTCATCTTAATAAGAAAAAAAATCAAACCCCCAAATTAAAAATCTTATTTAAAATGTTTATCAAACTTTTGTTTATGTTCAGCATACAACAAACTTACATAATGCAAAATTTCTTTGCTAGTGACTTATTTCATCACAATGCTTTCTTTTTTTGCTATTCAAAAATATTTATATGCCATAAAGTTTATCCCATTCAAAAATCAGACAGATAAATTAGCTGATTATAGAATTAATGTATTTGAAAATGATTAGACATTTCTATTTATAATACAGATGAAAGCTCACTAAAATCCATACTACTAATGATACTATTTGCAAGAAGTCAAGTTAGTTTTACCCAGAAAAAACATATATATATATATATATATAAATTATTGAGATGAAAAAGCTGTTCTAATTTTTCAGGATTTTGATCCTGTCCTCTTGATTTTTTCAAAAGCATTAAATTGTAACTGTATACTGAAGTAAGCAATACACCTTTAACAGTGAGTAAGGGTGGAGAAATGCTAATGTTTTTTGAACTCATTAATGGACCATCTCAAATAAAGAAATAAACCAGATCATTAACATTTCATCAATCTTACCCAGTGCTTTTTTTGTCATAGAATGCAATGGAATGGTGTTCCATCATCTTTTTTCGATATATTTTAAAAGTTTTAAAAGAATTTTTGAAAATTTGATGTTTGGTCAGCGTTGAATTGCTCTGTTGAACATAGAAGATTGGTAACAAAATTATTAAGACAGTCCTGCTCCTGCTTGTGTGCCGAATCTTGTGTACGATGCATGTAATATATTTTTAGTAATGAAATGAGTATTCCATCACCTTTCTTTTCCCAAAAAAGTGCTGATCTTACCCATTGTTAAAGATGAATTGCTTGCTTCATTAAATTAATTACAGTAACTAGTTCAATTTTATGTGACTATACCCTGGACAGACCTGTTTAACACTACAAAATTTATTATTATTTACTCTTAAATGTAAATAAAATTTTAAGATAATTTAATTGCATATCAAATCATTTAGTTATTTTTTTAAATATGTTTTAGAGGAGGAGTTCTTGCCGGTATTCATCTTACACCATTATTTAAAGGACGGGTTCCAAAGAATATCATTGAAGAATTTCAATATTCTCCGATTGAAGACGTTATAAGGAAAAATATGAAGAATTTAAGATTTCTTGTAATTAATATTTGTAATTAAATATAAATTTTTAAATATTTCATTACTTTTAAAATTATTTTATATAGTAAAAATTTATTATAAGCTATAGTCTTCCAAAATGTTAATATAAAGAACAAACTAAGATGATTATACTCTATTTGGAGTGAAAGACAAGCAAAATATCAATAACAGACTTGCCAAAGAAGTCTAGAATAAGGGTAGAACAATATTACGCAATTATTTATGGTGATGGCGTCACAATGCCAAGCTGCAATTTTTTATCTTATTTTTATTTTAAAAAAAAACCTATGTTCAGATTGAATCAAAATATAAATTATTTAAATTTTTTAAATGTGAGATCACATGAATATTGTATGTCTTATTGTAGAATGATATATTATTAATTGCAGTTTATCCTAAGAATCAGTTCTATACCAAATTTATTGCTCTATATAGTAGGGTAAAAACTTTTAATGGAAATCAATGGTCTGACTTCCAGTCCAGACCTAATGAGAGGTTGTATAGTAAATTGGGTAAGCTTTCTCTATCCTGGTCTTGATTTTCATCTATCTAACTTCATTTTTGTGATTAATGAAGGACAGATGGATGGACAGATGACAGCAGGAATGTAGTCGGTCGCTCACAAATATATCCCAAAATCAATGGGATGGCAAAGGTTCCATGAGTACGATGAGAGACTGAGAAGGTCAGTGGCGGCAGCAGAGCACTACGGTGGATGGTCGCCACCTTGATGAACGAATGGACAAACTCTCTCTCTCTCTCTCTCTCTCTCTCTCTCNTTTTTTTATTGTATGTATTTATAGAAAATATTTAATGTACACATTTAAATTATGATTTAAAAATCTATTAATCCTCAACTAATTTGATTCAGATACAATTGAATCAAATTCATATATGATATGAAATATGAAGCTTTATATGATTTATATAAGCTTTAATTCATATATTATATGAAAGATTTTAAAGAAACTGTTGTGGTTTTATTAATTCTGCTTTACTAAACAGTTAAAAATAATTAACAAGTTAAATAAATAAAACCTACTTACTCGAGCCTCTAGCCATTAATAGTCAAAACAAAACGCATGGAACACCTCAAATGGCTAGAAGCGATAGAAATATATAAAGTGCACACTACATCTATGTGCATTAACTCCCGAGAAGAAATGGCCCTTTCGTTAGTTTGGCAAGTCTTATTACATAATGATTACTAAGATTTAAGTTGGTGTATGAGGATGCATGAGGACATGTAACGATCGTAGTAAAAATAGTGCATCATACACGTATGAGAAGAGTAAATTCGATTCTGAATGATGGGGACACGACATCGCATATCGAATCTTCGTTCGAATTTTATTTTATAAAATTGCGTGACGGTGTTTTAGAATAAGGAATCCAGCCATTTTACCTGAAGAAGGACACAGAAGGTGTTTGGAAAATGTTTGTTTTTTACAAAGTTGTTTATTTTTTGTATTTCCACACACCGGTTAGAGGCTCGAATAAGTAGGTTTTATTTATTTATTATACACACCCTGGTGTGCATGAAGAAGTTAAATTAACAAGTTGATAGCACTATACATTACCTTGAGTACAAAGGACTGCCATGACAGTTCACATAATTAATCAAGCAGAATTAGGGCATTGTTGCTTTAATTAATTAATGCATTGCCAATATTGCAATCTAGAGCCATGGTTCTCAATCTTTTTGAAGTCAGAGAACACTAAACTTTAACATTTTTTTTCCGCGGAACACTTACAATATGTCAGCTTTAAAGCAGGGGTGCAAACCTTTTTGAAATCAAGAATGCACTCCGTCTACTATAAGAAGTCATTAGCATTTGCTGGTTATTTTTATTTTATTTATTTATTTATTTAACTAAACAACACTATGGCCATTGGCCTTTTCCAAGTGTCAAAAGAAATACTAATATAAAAAATAAACAACACAAAAAAAAAACAGCAAAAAGAAAAAATACAAAAAACTAGACACAGTTCAATTTTTTAACAACTTGTTTAAATTGCCCGTAAGTTCTTAAATCTTTATATTCTTCTTTTAAAGCATTCCAGTTATATTATATATGAATTGGTAAATCGGTGCATCTCAGCCAAAACAGTGCATAACTTTTGGTAGAATTAAATTATTTTTCTAACAAATAAATGTAGTTAGAGGGTCTAAAGTATTTATTTAACTTATCACTTAAATAAGATTCTTTCCTGCCAACCTTTATTAGTTTAAAGCTTTCTAAAAGAACTTGTTTTTTATATAAAACTTTTAATTTGTCAATATTGGTCTGGTTATAATAAGAAGTGACAGAAGAATTATAAGGTAAGTTGTATAATGTTCTAATAAAGTTATTTTGTATCACTTGCAACCTGTTCAATACAAAAGAAGAAGCTGTACCCCAAACGGAAATACCATATTAAAGTTTGGGTTCCATAAAAGCATGATGTAAACGGAAAACAGTCTCAGAATTTATATAACTCGTTATTCTTTTCAATATTCCAATAAATCTAGATAAAGACAGTGTTAAATTATTTATATGATTGTTCTATCGTAATTTATCATCAATTTCAATAACCAAATATTTTACAATATTAACTCTGAATATGTTTTATTATTAATTTTTAATTGTAATCACCTAGATTGGCTTTTTTGTTTTTATTTGACAAACAAATAATATTTTGTTTTATTCATAATTATACTAAAATTATAATTTTCAATATATTTACTTAATTTAGCCAACAAAGAATTTATATTATTTTCAAATTTCAATAAGCTCTTCATACTTTATTATAAGTTGTGTCATTTGGTGGCACAGACAACGTATGGTTTATTTCAGTTAAGAAATGGTTTTTGCACCCGGTTGATACCCTTGGTGTCTGGAAAGTACTTCAATGGCTATTTTGTGATGTGTGTTAAATGCTCACAAATGTTTTTGTATAAGGCAGCTTTGATTTTCAACTTGTTTNGTTATAACAATATCATCTGCATACAATATAATACTATTTTCAGGAATAGTTTCTATAATATCATTTATATAAATACAGTGGAACCCCCAGTTAACGAACTTAATCCGTTCTGCGACTCCGTTCGTTAACTGAATTGTTCGTTAACCGAAGCAATTTTTCCCATAGAAATTAATGCAAATGCAATTAATCCGTTCTAGTCTCCAAAATTTTTGTGATTTTATTTGTAATATAAAGTAGATTTTCTTTGATGAAAATATAGGAAAACATAGTATCATCATTACAGCAACAAACATGTAAACTTTGTTTAATAAAATAGCACTGTACAGTACATACTTTCGTTTGTTGTACTTGGTGGCAGAAAAATGGAGATATACGAACTTTAATGCTTAGAAGGGGAATCCCTCCAAAAAAATAACGGGTAACACTTCATCGGTAGATTCTTCAAGTCGAAGTCTCTTTCGATAAATAAACACACCAGTGGCTAAGTGGTCTTTGTACCTTGAACACGAACGTTTATTTGTGGGTTTGCACCTCGCTCAGACGGGCTGGCCACGTGGAGTGTTCCGGGTTTTCTCCACATCTGTAATGCCTAAATAGGGGCCAGTTTCCCTTAAAAACACCTCCCAGAAAACATTCCCCCTAGGCAGATCGCCCAAGTGTTGCGTTGCCATAACTTAACAAACAAACAAACTCTTTCTGTAAGGAACAAGAAATTGATCTAAAGTTGATTGTCTTACTCTTTTAATCAAAATTTTTCTCAAATGCAATAGCGCATTGTCGTTTATATTGCGTTGTCGTTTTCTATTGCCACTATGAATTTTTTCTTTCTTGGATGCCATATTGATTAAATATATAAATCACAAAACTGAAAAAAAGAAGTATAGCACAATCACTCGGAAAAGCAATGCTTAACTCGCGCATGCCTAACACCAACTAAAATTTCACACAAAATACCGTTACGTTCGTTATCCGAATTTTGTTCGTTATCAGAGACAAAATTTCTGCAAAATAAAAGTTTGTTAACCGATTTGGTCGTTAACCAGGACGTTTGTTAACTGGGGTTCCACTGTATTAAAAAGTAAAAGGCCCAAAATGGATCCCTGTGGGACACCTTTGTTCACTTAAAAAGGTTTAGTTACTTTAACATAGTACATACAATTTGATAAATAGGATATCAGCCACTCCGATGGCACTCCTCTCAGTCCGATTTTGAACAATTTATGTTTTAATATCTTGATATCCATGCTATCAAAAGCCTTAGCCAGAAGATCGATAAACAGTGCCATTACTAAATTTGAATTATTGACACCGTCAATAATACATTGTTTAAGATGAGTTAATGCATCGATTGTAGAGGCCTCTCTTTTAAAACCATACTGGTTATTAGATATGATATTATATTTATTGACAAATTCAAAAAATCTTTTATAGAAAGCCATTTCAATTATTTTAGTTATTCTCTGAATGATAGCAATCGGACAATCGTTCTCCAAGTCCTGTTTAGATTCTTTATTTTTAAATATTGGTATTACAAGATCGTGTTTGAGTTTCTCCAGAAACCTCCCACATTTGAAGGATTTATTAATAAAATAAGATAATGCAATAATATTTGCTATTTGTCTTAAAATAAATATATTTCTCAATGTCCAGAGTATTAGCTTTTACACTCATGATATAGTCAAAAATCTCTTTAGGAGAAGTTTCATCCAAAACAAAAAATTTATAGTTCCTTAATTTAGTAATATTGAAATGAATTAAAATTTACTACATTAAAAAATAAACTGTAGTTTGAAGTAGGAGATTGGTAAATAACCACAATCAAAACTTTATTGATAGATATTGTCATCACATCTATGTACTCTTTATTAAATGTCAAATCAGATATTACCTCATAAATCAAATCCTTATTTATATACAAAACTATATCTCAATGTTGGTTAGGTTGTCTTTCGATTTTTTCCATATTAAAATTATTTTAAATGAGGGTGAGTTTCATTTGTCCATGTCTTACAAAAAGCCATTGTTCCAAAATTACAGTCATATCCAGAAATAATATGATTTATCTCCTGATATTTATTATTTAAGCATCTTACATTACTATAAAATATATAGAGTCCATCCCTATCAAAATTAGTTATTTTATTATGTTTTAATAGATCTTCCATCAGGAAATAAACTCTCAATATACTCTAACATAGAAGGTGGAGAGGTTGCATTTATCTTTATGTAAATTATACCATTTTTAGTCCAAGTATTTAGTATTTTCACCTCCTTCTTTAAAACTCTGGTTTTATAAAAAAAAAGATTTCTATCATATGGTGTAAGATGATCATTTATATAAATTTTATGTTCTTCATTACATGCACTAGAGGTAATTTTGAGTTTATTCTCTTTAATTTTATCAATAATTTTTTGCTTCAATGTAATATTAGCTAATTTCACTATAATTGGCTTTAACTTATGTGGCATTAAATTTCTTTTACTTGGAAGGAATTTAGGCTTATAGGCATTTACAATAGATAATTTATCAAATATATTATCCACAAATGTCATGACTTTATGTTATAAACAATAACATTTAAATTTTCATTTAACAAAGTAGGAAGTCCAGCAATTTCTAAACTTGAATTATTAACATCTTGCTCCATAAACCTTAATTTTTCTTGTGTTATATTTAATTCTCGTTACATTGTAGAATTTTCTTGTTGTTATTATTGTTATTATTGTATTATTATCTTGTTGTTACCTTTTATTGTTTATCTCCAGAGAGTTAAGATGGTTGTTAATTTTAACAAATTTATCTGATAAAAATTGAATTGAATCCTTTATGCTTTTATTTGTTTGATTTATATTCTCCATACCTCTTTAAATTTGTTTAATTTCAAAAAATAATTTATCACACCGGGTTGACTCATTAGGCTCAGGTGAGCAGGAGGCTACATTGCTTATTTTTATTATTAATTGGTTTGTCACTAACTGGAGAGATAAAGTGAGTTGACTCATCAACTTTTTTTGTAAGTTTTACTAAATTTATGGAAAGTAGCACAACCAACACAATAACTATAAAAATGAGCATTTTTCAAACACTGTGAGCATGAAAGTAAATCAGTATCCAAAATTTTAAGATTACAGACAAAACATGAGGAGGTGCGGCGGTTAGCCATATTGATGTCATCATGCCACCCATACATTCCCATACAAAAATTATTTTACATTATATAGATTTTTCTTTTGCAACAATTTTTTTATTGTATATTTAACTTTTTGAGGAACACTTGAAGTGGCTTCACGGAGTACCTGTGTTCCACGGATTGAGAATCTAGGCTCTAGAGTGGTGATTGATGTCCTGTCCTGCTCTTCGTGTCATTGCCCAACCAGTGCACAAATGTCATGAATTTGTATGCTTACATTATTGACTATAATATTTATATAACTTTTACTACAGATTTTATTACACAATATACACACTTTTACACTGCCATTTTCAAAGCAAATTTCTTCTGAAGCTACATGCTTCTGCCAGCATTGGTATCACTTATCTACATAGTATGGGAAGACACATTTTTTTGATGATATCTTTAATGCATTTTGCCAATGGCTGAGATGGCTAAGGTAGCAGTTTGCTACTCGAGGAATCAGGATCAAATATAAGCAAGCAACTCGGGAATTATTTTTGGGCAATATGTCAGGCTCTCCTCCTCGTACTCACAGGGCAGATAGAGTAAAAAAAAAAAAAAGGCTATTATCACTAAGACTTAAACTCTGCTATTGGTTCTATTACTCTTCAACTTCTCTTTCATTTTAGGAACAGATAAAATTCTGTAGGGGCAGATCAGTGGAGCAGAGAGATTAGGAAAATACCATTATACCTTTCTTGAACTATTAAAGATAACATCAGTATTATTTTGATAAATAACTTAGTATAGATGATAACAGAAGTATACAGGGTGCATAGTAAAGTCCTTACACATTCACCAAGTAACAGATGAATGTGACTTATAGTAAAGTGAATGTGTTATGAGACAACATCACTAGCAGCACCTATAATGGTAAAATTCATAAGTTAGCACTCACATCTTAAAAACAATGTATGATACGAAAAAAGTCAGTTACATAGTTGTAGAGCATGACTGATTTGGTACAAAAGGACACCCTGTGTAAGTGAACAACACAGGGAAAGCATGAAACAGTCATGTGCATATCAAGCAAGACAGTAAAATGTCTATTTCTCACATGTTAATCTAAAACATGTGTATTTCTCATTTTCCTATATCTTTGTGCTACGTTCATTACTGTGTGCTGTGTAATCACTCACACTCATCAGCATATATGGACCTTACTATGCACCCTGACATGTGTTTGTGTGTTGTTCAGTCAAACCTATACTAAAAGTTAGTTTCATTTTTGACACAGAGCACAAACCAACAGCAGCACTATGAAAAGAAAATTTTACTAACATTTTCATCTATATAAAAATAGACATTATCAGGTAATAATGATATACAACAAAACAGCTAAAACAAAAATCGAATGCTGTTTTACATTTTCCAATTGATTATGTAAATAGGATACATTGCAAAACTCACTACTCACCACACCTATATATCAAACACAAACACTGAACCAAATTTACGTTGTGGAATGATTAACTAATCATAAAAAACAAACGTTTTCGAACTCCTTCTGGGCTCTTCATCGAATTTATGAGCTAAAACCTGATGAAGAGCCCAGAAGGGGTTCGAAAATGTTTGTTTTTTATGATTAGTTGATCGTTCTACACCGTAAATTTGGTTCAGTGTTTGTGTTAGAATACATTGCGTTTAAAATTTATATTGCTTTATACAGATACACTACAGTGACTTTTTTCAAAACACTTGGCAGATTATTCATCTCTTTATTCAGCCATCTAAATAAAGAGATGAATAATCTGCCAAGTGTTCTGAAAAAAGTCACTGTAGTGTATCTGTATAAAGCAAAGTAAATTACAACACGGTTTCATCAGAACCAAATAGAATTTATATGTTATGTTCGAGATATAATTCAAAATATGTATATTATTTAAACAATTAATGAATAAAAAATCAATTAATTTCACATTAGTTATTATGACATAAATAACAAATATAATTTAAATTATCATTAATGCGAATTTTTATTGGCCAGTTCAAAAATGTTGCACCATGTTGTAGACAGGGTGTCCATTTCTTTGAAATTAATAGTGACTCCCTCTTCAACTGCCTCAGGTATTTAAGATGTGCTCTTTCTGAAACCCTGTGTAACAATTTTACATCCTGAAATTTTTATGTTAATTATAATTTATCAGTACACCAAAATAAAAATATTGATTTCAGTAAAAATTATTTTTTATACTTTCAGATATTCTGTCTTGTTTTTTCCAAAGAATTAAATTTTCTAAAATACTTACTACAACACAATAGGCGAGACAACATACAAAATAATTTTATATTGTTAACTTAGTGGCACACTCGGGATTTAATCTTGAGGAGGTTGAATTGAACTGATAAAAAAATTTTTAATGCAAATTCAATACAATTCCCAACACATGGCTGCTAATTCATTAGCAGTGTAGAAATAGAAGACACAACATGATATAAATACAAAAATGAATTTTAATTAGGAAATGATTTTTGTGAAATTTTCTAGTTTTTTTTTTTTTCCTTTGGAGAATGCCAAGGACCCCTTCCCCTCTGGATGCACCACTGAACATAGTATTTGATAAATTTAAAATATTATCCAAATATAAGTGAAGTAAGTAAATTATATTTAATCCAGAAAAAACATATATATATATATATATATAAATTATTGAGATGAAAAAGCTGTTCTAATTTTTCAGGATTTTGATCCTGTCCTCTTGATTTTTTCAAAAGCATTAAATTGTAACTGTATACTGAAGTAAGCAATACACCTTTAACAGTGAGTAAGGGTGGAGAAATGCTAATGTTTTTTGAACTCATTAATGGACCATCTCAAATAAAGAAATAAACCAGATCATTAACATTTCATCAATCTTACCCAGTGCTTTTTTTGTCATAGAATGCAATGGAATGGTGTTCCATCATCTTTTTTCGATATATTTTAAAAGTTTTAAAAGAATTTTTGAAAATTTGATGTTTGGTCAGCGTTGAATTGCTCTGTTGAACATAGAAGATTGGTAACAAAATTATTAAGACAGTCCTGCTCCTGCTTGTGTGCCGAATCTTGTGTACGATGCATGTAATATATTTTTAGTAATGAAATGAGTATTCCATCACCTTTCTTTTCCCAAAAAAGTGCTGATCTTACCCATTGTTAAAGATGAATTGCTTGCTTCATTAAATTAATTACAGTAACTAGTTCAATTTTATGTGACTATACCCTGGACAGACCTGTTTAACACTACAAAATTTATTATTATTTACTCTTAAATGTAAATAAAATTTTAAGATAATTTAATTGCATATCAAATCATTTAGTTATTTTTTTAAATATGTTTTAGAGGAGGAGTTCTTGCCGGTATTCATCTTACACCATTATTTAAAGGACGGGTTCCAAAGAATATCATTGAAGAATTTCAATATTCTCCGATTGAAGACGTTATAAGGAAAAATATGAAGAATTTAAGATTTCTTGTAATTAATATTTGTAATTAAATATAAATTTTTAAATATTTCATTACTTTTAAAATTATTTTATATAGTAAAAATTTATTATAAGCTATAGTCTTCCAAAATGTTAATATAAAGAACAAACTAAGATGATTATACTCTATTTGGAGTGAAAGACAAGCAAAATATCAATAACAGACTTGCCAAAGAAGTCTAGAATAAGGGTAGAACAATATTACGCAATTATTTATGGTGATGGCGTCACAATGCCAAGCTGCAATTTTTTATCTTATTTTTATTTTAAAAAAAAACCTATGTTCAGATTGAATCAAAATATAAATTATTTAAATTTTTTAAATGTGAGATCACATGAATATTGTATGTCTTATTGTAGAATGATATATTATTAATTGCAGTTTATCCTAAGAATCAGTTCTATACCAAATTTATTGCTCTATATAGTAGGGTAAAAACTTTTAATGGAAATCAATGGTCTGACTTCCAGTCCAGACCTAATGAGAGGTTGTATAGTAAATTGGGTAAGCTTTCTCTATCCTGGTCTTGATTTTCATCTATCTAACTTCATTTTTGTGATTAATGAAGGACAGATGGATGGACAGATGACAGCAGGAATGTAGTCGGTCGCTCACAAATATATCCCAAAATCAATGGGATGGCAAAGGTTCCATGAGTACGATGAGAGACTGAGAAGGTCAGTGGCGGCAGCAGAGCACTACGGTGGATGGTCGCCACCTTGATGAACGAATGGACAAACTCTCTCTCTCTCTCTCTCTCTCTCTCTCTCTCTGTCCTCCCATGTCCTTTCCTTTTATTTGGGATTTATTTCTTTTATTTCTTTCCCTCTTTATTCTTATGCCCAAATTTTGCAAACTTATTCAGAGAGCTAGCTACTAGTCCAATCTCTGATTTTAGGAAAAATTTCTTCCAACGAGTAGGTTTCCTGGAAGATGCATCACTTACGAAGGAAATGTTAGTACAGAGAAAATCTTGTAAACTTCCTCTGTTATATTTTTCATCTTGGGCTTAAATAATTTTTCTGCTGTTGGAATGAATATTAAATAATTAAATTGCCAAAATTAGAAAAATGCTAGCCTGAGTTCTCACATTGGTCTGCAATTTGAGCCAACAAAGCTAAACTTTCCAAAAATATGAACTGTGGAACTGAGTTTATAAGCACTGTATCAAACTTGAATATTAAAAATGCAGTGGCGTAGCATAGTGAGGGCGGCAGGGCGGCCCCGGGCAGCACTTTTTAGGGGGCGGCAAAATTTCACAATAAATAATAATAATATCTTGTAAAAAATTTGAACCATTTCATTTCATATTTTCATTGCACCCTACAATTCGGACCGATTGAAATGAGCACGGGGAATAGTGTTACCATCCGGACAGTCAGAGAATCGACTCAGACTCACTGTCCGGGTGAACTATTAATTTAACCTGGGGATATCATGCGCAACCTTTCAACCCCTTTTTTTTTTATTTTTGTTTGTTGTACGATTCGTTCGTATTCATAATATACACCTCCAATATCTAATAGAGCTAAGTCAACTAGGTTACTTACGTTACTCCTACCCAAGTCTCCCTGTTCGCTAACTATACCTGATTTAGAACCGGCATGCACTGCACATTATTCTTCACATTGTAAAATGACATTACGCATGCGTCAGGAACTTCTGTTTGAACAAACCTGACCTGCCGTCCGGGTCAGCAATTTTAAAAAGGTGGCAACACTAGCACGGAATTTTTCATTACTTATTCTGTAACGAAACTGAATTTTAGTCTTTTAAATTGAGATACCTAAATAAGGGGACAGGGAAATTTTCCTTTGCCCCGGGCGGCTGACATCCACTGTAAAAACGATAAATTCTGAATTCCTTTTAACTCTCATAGAAATGATTTATGTGATGTAAAATGAAAAATGACAAACTTTCAGAACTAGCACAATAATGTCAAAAGTATGTGTATTTTTAATTTATTTTTTTTATGTATTCTAATTAATTTTATTATATATTTCACTTCTTTCTGTATATTATTTTCAAATTTCAATAAGCTCTTCATACTTTATTATAAGTTGTGTCATTTGGTGGCACAGACAACGTATGGTTTATTTCAGTTAAGAAATGGTTTTTGCACCCGGTTGATACCCTTGGTGTCTGGAAAGTACTTCAATGGCTATTTTGTGATGTGTGTTAAATGCTCACAAATGTTTTTGTATAAGGCAGCTTTGATTTTCAACTTGTTTTTGCTCAGTTCAGGTTTGCAAGAGGCATTGTTGGTTTGTAGAAATGGAATAATACAGAACCTGGTACTTACTAAGTATAATGTCTTTTCATTGAAAAGTTTGTTTTGCAGTTATCAAAATGAAAGACAGTTATTTATTGTTGTTAATGATTTGTTTTAAAATCCTTTTTAAATTTAGTTTTTGAGTTTTTTTTGCAGAATCTTAAGGTTCCATGGAAAACAGTTTGGGAGCTATTGCATTAAATGATTGTTTCCTCTCCAATATATTTAGAAAATGTTTGATTTCCACATGTGATGTTTTACATTTACATTTATCAGGAGGTAGTTTTCATAATAAGGTGGATTATCAGCCATTAGGACCAAAAGCAAGGCTGCATGGTATGGCTGGCTTTGTAAAAAGTCATTTTCTTAAAACCTGCCACACTGTTGTTTGTGGAATACCCAGGTCCCTCAAACCCATTAGAATCAATTCGTTTTTCAGAGGTCCACATGCGCAATTCTGCACACGTTTGTTTGAAACCGAGGGTTGGCCATCACTTTTGCCAACACGCATATGTCATATTTTCCAGAAATGAGTATACCATTATCGGATAGAATTAGTCAAAGGTTCCTCTCGATACTTTGAACAAAAGTGCCACCAAGCTAATGTAACAGATTTTGTTTCGCAAAATTCCAGAACACAAAATGCCGTTTCACTGCCGCTAGTTGCCATTTGGTAACAATTACGTCCTGGCAGGCATGAACTAAATTACCCATTTTAATACATTACATAATAGGTTTCTTGTTTCATAAGAGTGTTTATTTAGACAAAAATTTTTAAATTTGTAATTCTTAAAATGCAAATTTTCTTTAAAAATTATTAAATGTAAATAAATTTTTTTTAAAATTAAAATTTGCATAATTAATTCCAAAACGAACGTATTTTTTTTAAAGAAGGAAAACTAATAATCATTTGATATTTGAAACTGGTTTTAAATTTTGAAATCTATAAGATATATGTATAACTTCTCACTGTATGCTAAAATTTTAAATGGATAATTTTTATATATTAGGAATTAGCAAGTTTGGAAGTCACCATATGGGATGGAAGATTCACTAGTGAAGATTGTCCTCCTTTACCAGTAGATATGTTTTAATTTGTGATTCTGTTTAATATTCTTGTTACTTGTAATGGAATTGTATTTCACCTTAATTACTAATTTTTTTTACCTTAAATGAGGGCACATTTAATTACACAAGTATATGTGACAGAAAAATGACTACTGTATATAGACTTATCTCTGTAATACCGTGAGTTAGGTTCAAATGCACTGCCATAAAGTGAAACACAGCTTTTTTCATTTGCTAGTCCTTATAGAAGTCTAAAAAAATAAAGCAGGGTAAAAATAATAGATAAGTAAAACCTGCAAATTTCCTTAAGAGGCAGATAATTGTCAAAAATAATAAACATAAATATAATTGAAAAGTGCCATATTAGTTAAGTGCTATTGTGAAAGGTTCGATTGTAGAACACGTAATAATATGACCAAGCCACGAGGAACGAGCAGTTTTATTAGCCGAATTATTTAACAGAGAACTGATGCCAGTCACAGAGACGAAATTACACAGATATATTTACAATGTCTCCGCTCTCGTTCAGATTTTCCAAACAAAAATTTGTTTACGTACAGTTTCGATTAAAACTCAAATAATTACAACTAACCTTAACCTAACACTACAACTAATAGAAATAGAGAAGGAACGATAGTAAGAGGAATCTACCGGTAGTTAGGCAAATGGGTCCTGAGCTGGATGATTAATAACGGCGAATGTACAATCCGTCAGCATTGGGGTTAATATTATGCAGTTGTTAACAAATATACACCGAGGTAGTTGTAGGGACCTCTCAGGAATGGATATCTCAATTATTTCTCGTCTCTGTCCCACCTTTTCTATCTGGGCTCTCACTTTTGATCTCCATCTCACGCACGGTCCTTTGATCTCTCTCCCTTGACCTTCCTTCCGGTGGCAAATCCAAAAAGTGCCCGTTTTCTGACCCCGCATCTAACGATCGCTTTGGGCAGGACCCCCTCCCTGTCCCCATTGGCAAAACCACCAATCAGGACCCACGAATATTCCCGCTCCTGTCAGGCGACAGGAAAGGATTAAAAGCGGAAGGAAGAAGGGTGATAGGAAAGAAGAACTATTTATAGAAAAGAAATATTATAGAAAGGAGTTCTAATTCTATATACAGTAATTACATACAACAAAATGGCAGACTGCCACACTATAAAACAAAGTGCCTTAAAGTAAAGTATACCCTTAATTAAAATTTCAAATGTACAAATGTTCTTTACCCAATTGTACTATTAACTAATACACGGAAAAATAATTCTCCTTTCCTCTCTGACTTCTGGAGGCTTAAAAAATTCCAAGTCCATAGACTGGTATAATAAACAAAAGGACCAACATATTAACTTTAAGAGAAAAAAAATAGTTTTTTATTTTACACTATACTTCACCCCAAATGCATTTTGCCGTTTTTGGCCTCTTCAATAGGGTTTCTTACAACCAGAATGCAATACAGGTTATCTATTAGAAGACACAAGTACCATTGTGTTTACAGCTATTACATATTATCAACTCTTCCCAGCATTCCGTGGGTCCTTTTGTTTTTTATACCAGTCTACGGACTTGGAATTTCTAAAGCCTCAGAAGTCAGAGAGGAAAGGAGAATTATTTTTCCGTGTACTAGTTAATAGTACAATTGGGTAAAGACAATTTATCTGACTCCATTGGTTTTTTTTAAATATTTTATAATGTACGAATGTTGTTATAAAAACAAAATTATTCATTAACTAAATATGGAAAAAGCCATTAACTAGATTTAAGTTGCATTATCTATTCTTATAATAAATAATTATTGTAAAATGAAGGAATCTTAAAAATATTCTAAAGCTATTTATAATTACTAAGTCAAGTTAGCTTAGCTTACAAGAATATTAAAGCAGTTCTTGAAAACCAAAGCTTTAAATTCATCATCTGACAGTTACAATTTATTATTTTGGTAGTTAAGTAATTGAAAAAACTTGTGTTAAATACAAAAACAAATATAAATTTACAAAATATTACAAATGAACAGTCATTGTAGCTTTCTTTTATAGCTATAGAATCATAATTTATTTCAATAGTTTATAAATATTTTTAAAATATAAATTAATTTACATTATGTTATTTATTAAATTACCTGAAATGTCTATCAATAAACTTTATGATATAAAAAGAAATACTGTATTATTATTTTACTTTAATTGTATCTTTTGATTGAAATCATACCTTTCATCTCTAGATTTTGTATAACAAATCATTTTTAATTCATTTTGCAAATTAATGACAAAAAACACTCATTGATACAATTTGGATCTCTCACATTTACAGTATTCCAAGAGAATACTATTTAAGAGATTCTGACTTCTAGAAGGAAACCCATTACATAATTTTTGTTTAATTTGATGAAATTTTTATAATGCAAGAAAGAAAAATTTTAGAAATAAATTTTTATACCCAAACTTAATTTGTTTCACTAGTTTTTCTATTGTTTTTTATTCAATGACGCAGTTCCTTAAATTATAATAGAAAAGTCAAAAACACGCCGTTTTACTCTGACATATTTCTTCTAAAATTACAAAAAGAAATTTTGTCTTTCTCTAACTGTCAGAACACAACCAACATACTTTCCTTTACAGGCTCCCACTTTGCCTACACTTATGCAAATTGTTTAAAAATTCCTCGGCCATCAGATGCTGGTAAACTTTTATTTGTAAAAATAAGATATTTCTCTCCTGGATTTTATAATTTTTATTCTTAATAATTTTTTTATTTAGCCTAATTTTATATTTGTACGATTACAGGAATGTTAATAGAATAGATAAGCGTTACAATTCATTAACTATTTACACATTTAACTGGTCAAAAAAGTTACGACAGATAGTGTGAATTTGAAATTATAAAATTGTATTTCTTCTAAGACAATACGCAAATGTATTTACAATAACTTAACGGGGATATGTTCCGAGAAATACTTTGCAAAGCAACTAAGCACTTAGGCAAACATTTTGTTATCGTCTGTATGTAACGCAATGATAAGTATTTCTGTATCTAAAGGTAGAAAATGTACGGGTGGCTGTGAATTTTTCCATTATAATCTTACCGGACCTCCGCGGTTAAGTAGCACTTAGCCCTATAGATCTTTTTGACTTCCTTTTCTTTATTTATAATGTTGCTAATCCGAACAACTCTCCGATTAATGAGAATACATTGCATAATTTTTTCTATAAATATTTTTGATCCTTATCCATTTATCTTTTTCAAAAGGTTATAAAATCATATTTGAGAGTAACTGCACATCCTCAGAAATATCTGAAAGCGAGAGTGCAACGTGGAGGACCACCGGTGCAGCAGTTGTTATTAGAATCTCTACCTTCTTCCATACACAAAGATTCCAAAGAATTTGAAGAACATAAATCTAAATTTGAACTATTAGTTCAAGAGAAATTTAATATATTAATGGTAATATCTATATTTTTTATGAAATTATTAAAATTTTGTAATGTAAATAATTTCATTTTATTTTGAAAATATTCTAGAATAAAGAATTGAAAGAAGCTGGATTTTCTCCTTTAATATAATTTGAATTGTATTTATACCGGTAAAGCACTACGCCATCGTCACTAATTTTGTCTGTACAGATAGAAAATAATAAATTAATTAATTAACAAACGATTGTAATAATTGTAAAATGCAGTAATAAAGAAATTGCGTGTTTGAACTTTTATTATTCAAAAGAATGCTGTATATACAGTGGCGTAGCGTAATGGGGACGGCAAAATTTTCCTCCGCCCCGGGCGGCCGACACCCACGCTACGCCTCTGTGTATATAAATTCTAAGCATTTTTATTGGTGCTGTTTGATATCAAATAATGAAAAGTAGCAATGCAATGTACAGTACGTAACAGTTACATTAGTTGCCGTATGCACAGTTAAGTTACATTTTAAACTATTATTTAGTTATAATTAACTATATGTAATAAAGTTGACAGTACAGGATCTTCCAAAATGAATGCTACCATTTTAAATTATTGTAATTATGTTAACTATTATCCGAGAATGTTTTAACATATTGAAACATTGGGAAACCATCCGTGTTTCGCATTTGCTCATTTACAATTTTTCGGTGCACACACCCCACAGTGCCTGTCGACAAATACTCGATTCTTTTTTGGCTGGCTACAGAATACGTGTGGTTGCTGCAGCCACGATTCTGTGGCTCTTGCAGATTACTCGTGATTGCAACTTTATGAACTGCAGAACACAAAATGTCCTCTCTGTTGCAGAGTTGCCTTTTTCATTTATGGCTCTTTTTAGACGTTCGAGCGTCGATGGGAGATGAGACAACTTGGACGGTTACTCCATCGGTTGGTGTACGTCGAATACTTCTCGGATGATAATTATAATTACAGTAGTTTTCAATGGTGGCATTCTTTTTGGAAGACCCCGTATAATCCCGTCAAAACCACTCAATAATTTAAAAATACCATTTCATAAAATTAATGCTACAACATTAAATCTCTTAAAATACTTTTACTGTTTCTCGTACTGAGGTCAATTTTAATTAAATTTAAAGGTTATTTCCACCAATAAGCGATTACCTTATAATCAAAATAGCCGTGCCTTAGAGTTTTAACTTAGCACACGAATTCGGGTTCAACGTTGGTGTAGATTCCACAATTTATCGTGTATAGTTGGAGAATCATATCCAAAGAATAATGGAACTGGTTGGCTCCATTTACAATGGAAATACTGTATTTATGGTAGATCTTATAGCCTTAATATGTTTGTGATAATTGATTAACCGACCAATTAATCATTATCAAGGTTTTCAATCTGTTTCTTACAATAACTGAATTTATTCTATTTCTTTGAATTAAAATAACAAGTCTTTTATTATTTTAATTAAATAACAAATTATTCGTAACAATACAGCGATAAAAAACGACACAACTGGAAAATAAGTTTTATTGGTTAACGACGATGGGTGGATGACCAAAGTTTTTTTCTTTTGGTTCATATTTTCCCGTAGACATTTCAGAGAGTCTTTTTATCCCACCGTGCGGCGAGGGACGGGTTCCGCGTATACGAGACCAATCGCCGCCAAAAAATTCCAATGTTCTCGATTCACGGTGGTGCGTTATCCTATGGGCACAAAAAAAGCAATTGCTCTGGATCCCCGCCAACCGGGTGCCCCAAACCAATCTTCTAAGGTTTTCGCATTTGGTGGAGTACCAGATAGACCAGAAGCCAAAGGTATGTTCGGATTTGGAATTTCTGCACATGTATTAGTAATTTATTTATTATAAATGAATCTGTATGAGTTGTTGAATCTTCTGTGTTATTTGATCGTTCTATGAAAATGTTTTCGGCTGCAGATGCGGGACTGTTCGGATCTTGACGATCCGTGACATAGCTTGGAAGAAAGTCTTGATCAGTGAAAATATCTCTGTTGAATGGATAAATTCCAGATACGCGAAATCTAGATATATTATATGGCACAACTGCTAATGGAAGTGCTAAAGAGACAATACCGGGAATGTCATAGATGGTGTTAGTTTTCCCTGGATTAGTCTTCATTCACAAAGCACGTGCAGAGTTGATAAATTTTTTTAATGGGCCGAAAACACTCCGGTCTAATGGCTGGAGCTTGTGGCTGCAGTGTGGGGGAAAAGATAAAATAACGACACCGTTGTTTTTTGAGAAATTTAATCCGGGAATAGAGAGGCGAGACTCGTTGTTATCAAGCACTAACAGTATAGGCTTTTCTTTTGTACATTTAGTTGTTCAGCGAGATGCTTTAAAAATATTAGAAATTGCTCCTCTTTAGTCCAGCCGAATGAGTTTGCTGTTCCAGTAGAACCAGGAGGAGAATTTTGCAGAAAGTGGTCTCTAAAGTGTACTCGAGGAAACGCAAATAACGGCGGAATGCTGTTTCCAGAAACAGATACTGCAAGAGCCATAGTTATTAGTTTGCCCCTTTCAGCTGAGGCGATACAACCAATTTGACCAAATCCTTTTCTAGCAACAACACGACATATCCGAACGGACCACCCCCGAAAGATTCCTGGAGATTTTTTTCGTTCCCGGATGCCCCAGAGCGGTGGTGCCATCTTGACCGCTCGGCCATCCGGCCGCAAGGACTATATACCACAAGAATAGCCAGATCCCTATTCTACAATGTTAGCCAGGAATGGCAAGTTAGTGACGTCAGCACGAGTCCTGACCTCTCTGTTTACATAGAGAAGGGTGTGCACGTGTTTAGTTTTCGCTTTTAATATTCGTCCAATTTTGTGATTAACGAAGTGATTTATTTTAATATTTCTATAATTGTTTTATTTGACTAAGTTTTTTATAAGGTACGATGATTTAAATATAAGTCATTAAATATTTAAAGCTATATTTTTATGTTAGGTGAAGAACAAAATGCCGAGTACTAGGTGTGCTGTGTATGGTTGCAATAATAACCTTCTTTTTTCAAATTGGAAGCAACCTGTTTACATCGGGTTTGATCAAAAAATGACAAGAGAAATACTTTTAAAATTAATAGCAGAACTTTATTTACTATCGTATAATGTAGTAGCTTNCACAATAAATAATAATAATATCTTGTAAAAAATTTGAACCATTTCATTTCATATTTTCATTGCACCCTACAATTCGGACCGATTGAAATGAGCACGGGGAATAGTGTTACCATCCGGACAGTCAGAGAATCGACTCAGACTCACTGTCCGGGTGAACTATTAATTTAACCTGGGGATATCATGCGCAACCTTTCAACCCCTTTTTTTTTTATTTTTGTTTGTTGTACAATTCGTTCGTATTCATAATATACACCTCCAATATCTAATAGAGCTAAGTCAACTAGGTTACTTACGTTACTCCTACCCAAGTCTCCCTGTTCGCTAACTATACCTGATTTAGAACCGGCATGCACTGCACATTATTCTTCACATTGTAAAATGACATTACGCATGCGTCAGGAACTTCTGTTTGAACAAACCTGACCTGCCGTCCGGGTCAGCAATTTTAAAAAGGTGGCAACACTAGCACGGAATTTTTCATTACTTATTCTGTAACGAAACTGAATTTTAGTCTTTTAAATTGAGATACCTAAATAAGGGGACAGGGAAATTTTCCTTTGCCCCGGGCGGCTGACATCCACTGTAAAAACGATAAATTCTGAATTCCTTTTAACTCTCATAGAAATGATTTATGTGATGTAAAATGAAAAATGACAAACTTTCAGAACTAGCACAATAATGTCAAAAGTATGTGTATTTTTAATTTATTTTTTTTATGTATTCTAATTAATTTTATTATATATTTCACTTCTTTCTGTATATTATTTTCAAATTTCAATAAGCTCTTCATACTTTATTATAAGTTGTGTCATTTGGTGGCACAGACAACGTATGGTTTATTTCAGTTAAGAAATGGTTTTTGCACCCGGTTGATACCCTTGGTGTCTGGAAAGTACTTCAATGGCTATTTTGTGATGTGTGTTAAATGCTCACAAATGTTTTTGTATAAGGCAGCTTTGATTTTCAACTTGTTTTTGCTCAGTTCAGGTTTGCAAGAGGCATTGTTGGTTTGTAGAAATGGAATAATACAGAACCTGGTACTTACTAAGTATAATGTCTTTTCATTGAAAAGTTTGTTTTGCAGTTATCAAAATGAAAGACAGTTATTTATTGTTGTTAATGATTTGTTTTAAAATCCTTTTTAAATTTAGTTTTTGAGTTTTTTTTGCAGAATCTTAAGGTTCCATGGAAAACAGTTTGGGAGCTATTGCATTAAATGATTGTTTCCTCTCCAATATATTTAGAAAATGTTTGATTTCCACATGTGATGTTTTACATTTACATTTATCAGGAGGTAGTTTTCATAATAAGGTGGATTATCAGCCATTAGGACCAAAAGCAAGGCTGCATGGTATGGCTGGCTTTGTAAAAAGTCATTTTCTTAAAACCTGCCACACTGTTGTTTGTGGAATACCCAGGTCCCTCAAACCCATTAGAATCAATTCGTTTTTCAGAGGTCCACATGCGCAATTCTGCACACGTTTGTTTGAAACCGAGGGTTGGCCATCACTTTTGCCAACACGCATATGTCATATTTTCCAGAAATGAGTATACCATTATCGGATAGAATTAGTCAAAGGTTCCTCTCGATACTTTGAACAAAAGTGCCACCAAGCTAATGTAACAGATTTTGTTTCGCAAAATTCCAGAACACAAAATGCCGTTTCACTGCCGCTAGTTGCCATTTGGTAACAATTACGTCCTGGCAGGCATGAACTAAATTACCCATTTTAATACATTACATAATAGGTTTCTTGTTTCATAAGAGTGTTTATTTAGACAAAAATTTTTAAATTTGTAATTCTTAAAATGCAAATTTTCTTTAAAAATTATACAGAATTAAATTTAGCAGAGGAAATTGGTTTTTAAATTTGTATATAAAGAGGGGATCGAGGCTACAATTGCCCTTAGTGAAAGTGGTGCGGCCGGCGAGTTAAAGGTTGTTTAAGGAAAACGGGAATAAAAAAAGATGTTTTCGACATTAGCGAAACGGTCGATGGCTTCGGTTTATGGATTGGCTTACAGAAATTTTGCCACCACATCCAAGGTATTTACGTCATTTTGCATTAAATCCCAACGCCTTGCTAAATTCGAGTCTCGTCCTTGGCAAGGTCGTCCCCCAATCAAATCTTGTACGAGTTTACGTAATTATTATATTCTCTGGCCTAATAAATGGTAATTACGTATCTAATATGATATTTCTGTAAGATATCCTTTATATTGAACTTGTAACTTGGAGAGCGAGGTCCGAAGTATCCTCGGGTACGACTGACTTTTAGCTGATTTATATTTATATGCTTATATGTAGCCTAAAAGTAACTTGTGCCTAATTGTAATTTTCCTAATAATGTTTGTGCCAAAACTTCGTTTTTCCGAATATTTAATATATAAACGTTTATTTTATGTGCATTATTTGGAAGTTGACGAGTGTGGAATTCCTGTTACGGTCGTCAAGTCTGCGCCGATGCGTGCTGATTCTTCTGGTTGGAGAAGAATCCTCGCGCCTCGGCGAGGACCCGCCGCCCGCCGGAACGTCTTCCGACGGTTCCGGTCGAACCGTGGCTCGAAGACCGCTTGCGGCTCTTCTAGATTTTTACTTTGGTTCCATAATTTTCTTTCGTAAACTTGGTACGTGCCGCTTGCGGGTATAAAATGTTTTTGCGAGTTTGCCGAGACAAACTTGCAAAAATAATTGCTCTGCCGTGCGGTGCGGTCTTCTCGGAGTGGAGATTTGGCACGCGACGGTTTGCCCGAGAAGTCTTTTTCGGAACGTCCGAACTACTTTGTGGCGTTCAAAGATAAAATAACTACAAGGAACCGCTTTAATAATTTACGACCGTAGAAATTACGTCGACGACCGGTTAAAATTTCCCGTGGAGAACGGAGGAAAATGTACCGTTTAATTTGTGACGCGTCCGGCCGAGTTAGTGGCCGCTCGATTACGTCCGTTAATTTTGTTTTAAAGAGCGAACAAAATGTATTGCTATAATACTTATCCCAACAACAAAACGAGAAATAAAGTTTGATAACAGAAATCAAAATTTTAGTTCTCTTGGCCTTTACAGTCAAATGTTTGGTTTTATTATATTATTCTTGACATTGGTGCAAGTTTCAATAATTTTGTTTTTAAGATTAAAAGTTTTTTGTCTTGCTTATCTAACTGTTGAATGTTGTGTAGTGTGTTCATCTATTATTGTGTAAAAGACACGATTGGTTGGTTACGTTTTCAATTAAGTGTCCCGCAGTTTAGTGAAAAGAACAAAATGACTCGCATCATTTAGCAAAACTTGTTGAATTGCTTGCACAAGAGTATAGATCATGCCACAAGTCAGCTAAAATTTTTAATAAGAAAAAATTCAGAAAATCTCTCAACATAGCTAAAATTTTTTTCTTGGGTATAATTTAATTTGCTGAAAATTTAGATTCATTTGTGAGATTATTCTTGAATATTCAGAACTTTATGATTTATAACTAGGCATTTGCAATCCATTGTCCAAATGATGTTTTATTTTAAATGAAACATTTTAATTAACTGTTTAATCTTTGTAAGGCCTGTTTATAAATGCATAAGACTGCCATTTTATAGTTTTGATTTATCAAAATAATTATTTGTATTTATTTTTTTCCAATTTTTATTTATATTATTTGAATCAATTAAGTTTCTTCATTTGATTGTCTAAAAAGACATAAGGAAGGAATATTATATACTCAATAAAACTGCATTTGATGTTTAAGATGGTAATTTCAGTGACTTTCTAATGCTTTTGAACAATCATTTTATCTTTGATATTCTAAGTTAGTAATACATCTCTAAAATTTGAATATTTCAGTTTTGTTCTCTAATGCTTCAAGATAAATGCATGCTCAAAGATGTTAGATTTATAACTTTTTAATGGCTTTATGTGCCCAATATAGGATATTGAATTACTTTAACTAACATAATAATTTGGAAAGAAATAGATTAATTTTATTAATATAATTTAATTCAATCATGCAAATTTTATGCATAAAAGTATTTAATGGTAGAGTCCCAGAAACTCTACTCTCAATAACTCTGTATTCTGTAAAACTCATCACGCTGTCCAAGAAAAAAAGAAATACGTGTAATGATATTTTTCTCAATAATGAAACACTGGGATCAAATAAGTTAGTTATTCACTGGCAACACTTGTTAATAGCATCAATTTCACATGTTAACAAAGAATATATGATGATGGTTTTTCCAAGACACCACCGTGTGAACGTTGCTAACTCGGAAGTAACCGCCAAATAGTCAATAGTTTTATAAATTAAAATTTAACCAAAAATAGTCACTATTGGTACATAGTTAATATGTACGCTGATTTGCACGTACGATGTCGTCGCAGAAATTTTGCCATTTAGATTAGCGTCGTTGCTATCGGTAAAACTTGTCACCTTCTCGGCACATTAAGTTGAGTTTGCGGGACTCTACCGTATAACGTTTTGAAACTGTAAATCTACTTTGTTTACAGCATTTAGGATTAGACAAAATTTAAAATTTTAAATAAATAAAAATTGAAAGCATGATAAATTGGAATGGATTTTGAAATAACATTCAGTCAAACATATATTTATGTTCTAGGACAGGGTTACCAAACTACAGCCTGCGGGCCAGATCCGGCCTGCGTGGTCAGTTTATCCGGCCTGTTGCCACAAATGAGCTAAAATATAATTATTTATATTGGGGCTTCTTAAACTTTTTTTATTCACGACCCCATTTATGATTGTGATTTTTTTCGTGACCCAAAAAAATATAAAATAAAGATATATACAAATTTGCAAAAACAATAATGGTGTACTATCACAGTTCACTCTTGTGTTACAATGGAACAGAGACAACTGAATGCACTAAAAATCAACAACACTACACTAGTTCACACTACAATCGTTGTCTCGCTGCAGCAGAAGTGACACAATGTGCAACTCACGAAACCTATGACACAAAGCGTACCATTTTCAAAATATCACAAATTATTTTCAATATTTTGCATTAAAATCTCGCAACCCCAAGATTTCGCTAAGAGACCCCAAATGGGATCACGACCCATAGTTTAAGAAACCCTGATTTATATGGAAATATCACAGATTGGAGATAATTTTTTTACATTGTAAGTTTAAAATAAGTGTAAATTGTCTAAATTGGTCCAGTCTGATTTTTGCATCTGACAGTAATATAATTTTTAGGAAAATCAATGAAATAAAATCTTTGGTGACATTTTGCAACTTTAGCTATCAGAGCGCTTTTTTGTATAAGTACAGTATCTGCAATGAAGTTTCTAAGGAAAATGGTTACGTGCTTGCTGCAGCAATTGTGCTTTTTTTTTGTGTGTGTGTGTATTTATTTAGTGTGCTGTATTGAACAAAATGGTTATATGACCCATGCGTGTCATTCTATCAGTTATCTGGCCCGCTGTGAAAAAGTTTGATGACCCATTCTAGGAGGTCAGAGTTGAAGAAGACACAATGGAAGTTATGATATTTATGCACTTTGAATTTTTTTTTGTTCCTTACTAATTTTTGAATATGTAAATTTTTATATTTCAAATTGTATGTTGATAAATATTTTTGTAAATCATTTGTTCACTGAGTCTTAATTTTAATGAAGCATATTAGACAAAAAGTTTTAATAGCAGAAAATGTCTAGTTATAGTTGTAGTCGTGATAACCAAGTAGCTATTTATAGTTGCTGATAACTGTAAATAATTGACTATTTGTAGTTATGGGATTATTTTAAAAAATTATATAAATTAGTAAAAATTATTACTGAAAATGTAGCATTTATCGTGCACCGTAAGCAATGATGTTGCAAATATAACTGTGACATTTCCAAATGTCATAAAAATAAATCCATTGTTGGGATTGGATTGTTTTTAGGAAGTGATTAATTGGCTATTTATATAACAAAAATTCATATGTAATATGATGAACAAAGCTTATTTACAATTTTTATAGTTATTTTCATGTAAATATGGATAGAATGGTATTTTATAAAAAATGGTTTTGAATTAAAATATTTTAAAATTGGGCATATAGGGAGAGAGCCCCTAAATTAAATGAGATTTTTTAGTTTAAGTTGGTAGCAGTAGCAAGATACACACTTCTGGCAAAAATGTTTTCTGCTATCTGGCATGTAATGTGCTACACTGGTACTCTCATGTGAAGCTAATGCAGAAATTTGGAATGTAGTGATATCAAATGACAAAGATAGTGCTGGTTTGAAATTCTATTACAGTTTTTTAACTTGAGATTTTAACATGGACATAGACTTTATTCTTAGGTGGTAAACAAACATTGTCATATCAAAGAAGAGATTTAGGTCTGGTTTTTTGCTTTATTGGACTTTTTTATCTTATCACCTTTTAGAAATTATTTTGGTTTAGATCTGAATGCTAACAATTAAACTCAATCATTCAGATTAATATATAGCATTGCATTTTTCATGGTTGTTGTTACATTTTACTGGTTGTTGTACTGATCTTGATATATTTGACTTCTAAAATTTGATATTTTCTATGATATTTAGATCTGAACTTGGAGGCCTGTGAAGAACATTTTTACATTGTTAGCATGGATGTACTGGATGATGATTTTACATATATCGTTATTCTACTGCCGTGTCTATTTTTTGGGCTAAACTGTGCTTGATTCCTGGGAGAAATGTGTGTTAAAAGTCCTCCAAATAAGCACTGCTGTTATACTTTAACTTTTAGGTTTTCCTTGAAGTAATCACTAGTTATAACATGGATGCTGATGGATGGGTACAGTTATAACATTTATTCGTACTGTTGATGCTTCGTATGCTGATGGATGGGTACAGTGTGATCAGATATGATCATGAGTAAAAGTTGTCTGAGCTATCACAGAAAATCACTTTCCTCTGAAAAACTACCACATTAAATTTGTGATTTTTGGAAAGATAGTGTTTCTGTTTATGCCATGGAGTCAGAAGTACTACAGTTTTTTAATGTTTTGCATTAGCCACAAACCTCACATTGTGAAACAAGCAGCTAATACTGGGATATATTT